ATAATTTTTAAGTCTAAACCAGTCATTTGTATCTAAAAACTACAATGGGTTAAATTTATTATTACTTTGACTATAAACCCACACAATGACTAGACAACTTGCACAATTTAGCTGCCCTGATGTTGTCTAAAACCTATCGGCTATCCAGATATACTTACTTAAAGTAGCATTTATCCAATTAAACATCCACAAGTAATTGCCTTTGTTTTCGGCTAACTTAATCTAATGAGCATTAGAAAAAAACAGCTGCTATATTAATTATTATATAACTATATTCTGGTTTTCCTATATAAGGGGAAACAACTTCAATAAATTCAATTGAAAAAAAAAAAGGGGGGGGGGGGGGGTTGACTTAAGCCACTAATGGGTGTTGGAGGGGGGGGGGGAAGAGCAAGAGAGGGGTAACCCAAATCATTAATCAATCAGGTTTGATAACTTTCTGTATGGCATAGGAAAAAATATATATTTTTTAAATTCAAGTAAAAAAATCTTTTATTAGATCTGCAAAAACAAAATTCCAACTGAAAAACTAGACCTTTGCAAAACTTCAGACCTTTACATTCATGGTTAGAACCAAGTAGGCTATTTTTACATGAGATAAAATGAAATTATTAATAGGATGGTACAAGCGCACACAAGGAGAGACCTATATAAGATAAATTTTATAAAACACAGTCATGGTGCACAGGGATATTTAACATCAGTGGTGACACAAGGCGGAGTGGTGCTGTCAGGACTGGGTGACTCCATCTAGGGCGTAACAAGAGGATGAAAATTTGTGAAATTTACTATCAAAACAATGTTTTATCCAATCAAGATGATAAAATTGCAAGGACAGGGGGATGATATCAAACAGAAGATGTAAAATTGTTGGAGCGGGTGAGGAGACACCCTTAGTTATGCACCAAGTTAGTACTAGGTGTCACCTGATCTAGTGATGTCACTGTTTAATAATATTATTTAAACAACCTTAAACTGTAGGCTTACATATTTGTAGTTTCACAGATTTAACGTGGTAACATCTACATACAACGCTAAAGCCAATGAACAAATTACAGGATTAAGATTTACAAGGTACAACCTTTTCTTCCTACACACACTTAACTTAATCTCATGGCTGTTGTGTGATTGGTTGCTGATGATGGGGGCTGGACTTTATACTTTCATTTTCTTCATCAAGATGGTTATACAGCGGGAACTCGCAACAAAAAATGGATTTGATAAGTCTTGGGAGGACATTGTAGAAAGGAGGGGGAAGCATTAGCAAAGGACTGGTCCTTCTCTTGTATCGTAGGTACTGTTCATTCCTGGAATACAAATTATAAATACACTTGTTTAGAATAAACAAATTAGTTTAAAATATGCCTATGCTCGAGATCTACAGTCAAATGAACTTAAAATAACTAGCTCTAGTGAATAATTAAAAAAAATAAAAATTAGGAGTATTTATAAAAATTAATGAAACAATAGCTGTTCTCCAGATATTTCATTCTGTTTAAACCATTTTTTCATGTTAGTTATTTACCCGTTCAAAGTGGGATTTGAAAATAGCATTTTAAACTCTGTTATTAATTAACCTCCGCTCCACAAAAATCTTTAGTAAAGGGCTTTTTTTTTTGTTTTTACTGTTTACAATGTTTTATTTAGTTGGCAAAGTCTGTTTGTTTCTCGCTGGGTTTATCTTGTAACTAATTTTTAACCACTTCTGATGCTGCGATTTTATACCAACTTTCCACATACGTTCTTCTTCGATAACAATCCAATGCTATCTATTTTTAAAAATCTAATTAGACATTAGATTAGTCATTAAAATCTAATGAATAGGGATAGATTACAAAATTCAATAACATAAGGAGAGATAACTTGCTAGATGTGATCGATCAGTCTGCTAAGCTGTGGTTCACCCCGAATGTTTGGTCACGGTTGGTTGCCTGAGTGTCGACTGAGAAATAGGGGCAGGCGATTGGTTAGGGTTTTAACGCAAATATTTTTAGTCATAGCACGGTCGATTTCATTTAGATCTAGAATGAATGACTAGTAATAAGAGGAAACTAAAATAAAAAACCTTCATAACTTTATAATTACAAGCTTTTAAATGCACTGAAAATAAGAAAATGAAACAAACGCTCTTCCACAAAAAAAAAAAAAACAACAATTTTGGTCGCTCTTGTTAAAGTATTAAGTTCCCTTTAGAAACCAGATTGTCCATGGGACAAGTGAAGTAGAGTTCACCTGTTTCTGTGACCTTGGTCATGAGATAACTTAAATATTTTTGTTTAAGAGATCAACACATAAATTTTAAAAGTAAGTATGTTAAGTTTTACTTTCATATTTACAGAGCATTGCTGGATGTCAATGAAAGATTTTTCATGTTTTCATAATTAACTTTTTCCTCCCTTAAGTTTAAGGGAATCAAAGAAAGTTTGGATAAAAGGTGTAGTAATGCGCGTACCCGCACGTTGCCGCGGTTTATGGCGATAATTGTCATTTGAATTTCTCGAGGCAAGTTTAAAATGGCATGCAAAAAAATAGTTGTGTTTTAAATTATCCATATTTCTCAGAAGAATAACGGCTTTTCAGATAATCCTATTTAATTTGACATATTTATATATGTCATCAAATCTTAAAGTAGTAAATTAAATTGCTAAAAAAAGTGTTGAAAAATTTAAGTAATTTAATTATTATTTAGTATAATTATACAATTTAATTTACAGATACGAGTTGTTTCCCTTAGAAACAGTATATTAAATGTTGTTTACCTCCCATGTAACTATAATTATCTGAGTATAAGTAATTAATATAAGGTAAAAGTTGTGTCGTACGTAGGGCCGGCCGGTGGTCATGATTGATTGTCCGTTAATTAAAGAAATCTAAACACGCACACTGATTTTATACATCTTCGCCACACTTGAGGACTATGTCATAAGGGGTCGTCCATAAATGACGTCACACTCGTAGGGGGGAGGGGGGGTCCGAAATTTTGTGACGGTGTGTGATGAGGGGGAGGGTAGGTTCAGATCGTGCGACGTCACGCTGTTAGAAAACAAATTTTAGACGTTATTTCGCGTTTTAGAAAACTGTTTTAATAGGAATTGATTAAAATACTCTATTTTGACAGAGTTCAGACAAGATTTTGGAAAAAATATCGATGTTTTAAAAAAAATTCAACTGCAGTTTCGAGGTGGGTTGTAGGCCGAGGTGTCACGTCATTTTAGGGGAGGGGGTCTGGCTTTTTGTGACGATGTGTGATTGAGGGGAGGGGGGGGGGGAGAGGTAAAAATCGTCAAAAAAGCGTGACGTCATTTATGGATGACCCATAAGTGGATGCGCGCGTGTGTGTGTGTGGGGGGGGGGGGGATGTCAATTAAATTTCATGTGGACGTCATAGATGGATAACCGTAACCCCTTAGTACAGGGGTCGGCAACCTTCTGAAGCGGAAGAGCCAAAAGTTACAATTTTTAAAAATTTCCTGGTTTTAAAGAGCCAATACATTTTTTTTGTATTTCAAATATTTTTTTTTAAATTAAGATTATTAGTATTTGTTCACGGAGCTGGAGAACCGCATCTTGATATCAAAAGAGCCGCATGCGGCTCGCGAGCCGCAGGTTGCCGACCCCTGCCTTAGTACGTTAGTAGGTGCGCAACAGTACAATGATGAAATAAAGCCCGCCTTTTAATATTTATTTTTCTGAAGTAAGGAAAAGAGCTGAAGTATTATAATTTAATATGCTTCTTTAATTATAAATTGGATTTTACCTGTTATTTTTATTTATTTAAAAGCGCAACAGAGCTACATTGTTTACTAAATATTATTTATTTTATCTATAGTGTGTATCTAGTGTCAATAGAATATTAGAAATATTTGATAAGAAAGATTTATAAATTTGGATTCCTTTATTGTTAATGTCAGTTTGGAAGAGTACAAAATTAAGTTTAGATTACGATCGGGAAAACGTTATTAATTTTCTAAATTATTAAAATAGACTTGGTTAATCATACTGATCCGTTGAGATGTTTAAGGTTTTTTTTTTTAAAAAACTTGAACGCAATTATACAGGTTGGTGTATTTGCAAGATACGTAAATTATTCACGTTAATATGCATTATAGCTAGGATAAAATGTAAAAGTAAAGTTCCCTTTTCGAACCTGAAGTGAAGTAGAGTTGGACTGTTTATGTGACCTCGCTCATGACATCTCAAACATATTTAGATTTATGTGACCAAAGTTTATATTTAAATCTAGGAAAGTAAGTTGGCTTTATTTCGGGGCATTTGAAAGTTCTTAAACTTCAAAGTGTTTTTATTTCAATTTTGTTGGTTATTTTATTTAACCCCTTAAGATTAAGGGAATCAAAGAAAGTTTGGATAAAAGGTATAGTAATGCACCGATTAGAAGGAATTTTTTGAGGCCAGCATAATGTGGCATGCAATAAAATAGTTGTGTTTTCAATTTTGCATATTTCTTTTAAAAATATTGGTTTACAGATAATCCTATTTAGTTTAACATAATCATACAAATCATCACATTTTTAGTTTAACACATTTATTTGCTAATAAAAATTGTTGAAAAATTAAAGAAATTTCATTATTATTTAGCATATTAATACAATTTAATTTTGAGATACGAGTTGTTTCCCCTTAGAAACAGTATACTTAATGTTGTTTATCTCCCATGTTTACTATATTTATTATTTCTATTAAAAAAACTTGTTATTGCAGTTTCGCCTTTGATGTTTTTGTACAAATCATTTAAACTTGTAAACTCAAAGTAGTAAATGAAGTAGATCTACATTAAATAGATGACATCCGACAAGTATCATACGATATTATAATAGACCATTGCTACTAAATTTTAAGTTAACTGTTCGTAAGTTAAATACCTACTTGGTTTATATAACTTTTAACTAATAATAAATTTAAAAAAAAGAAATGAAACATTCTAGGAAATAATTATCATATTAATTTTTATAACGTAGAAAATTTAAATTTGATTTACTAACTTTCTGTAGCGTTCATCAGATTTCTGCTCAAGTAATGGTATGCCACTTAAAAATAGCAATATTGCCATTGTAAACAGTGGACTTAAAATAGCTGTCCATTGCCCATACTGAAGGATGCTGGTACTTATTAGAAAGATACCTATCCATACTGTTATTTCACCAAAATAATTAGGATGTCGAGAAAAACGCCATAAACCTGGAATAGAATTAGAAGTTTAGGCAAAGCTAATAGGATTTTTAGAGCAAATAGTTTTTGTATAGCTTTGCTAATGAAAATAAGTAGTTATTGAAGATTTGAATAAGCAAATTTTAATTATTATGGAATTTAATTTCTTTATTATAATAGATTTTGAAATAGGCTATTGAAATGACAAGTAAAAATGAGCTAAATAAATTAAAAATTTAAACATTAATTTTTAATTTTTTAAAAGGCTCTAATTAATTTTCTACAATCCAAATGTCATTATATACCTTGGGCTTTGCATATTCAATAAATTTATATGCATTTATTGTATTTTTAGACAAAATTACAAATACAAATATGGAACCTATGAGTATAGCTAGTTTTATAACCACCATGGAAATGAACCTAGTTAAGATGTATTAAAGTACATTAACAGTACATACTGTCTCAATCAACAGTACCACTGAATCAAGATACTTATTTTAAAAAAAAATAATAGTTAGGATTAAAGTCATCAGTATCACACTGTCCCAGTTAATTAAGATACTCATTAATGTATTAGTTAGGCCATCTGGGACTAGGATACTCATTTAAAATCACCAAACAATTACCAGTATCACACCATTTTCCCCTGTTGTCGGGATTGTTCCTGAAGTTAAATTTTTGAATATCTGCAAACGTTTCAACCACGAGACCAAGGCCGAACAAAATAAACCCAACGATATCTTGCGGTGTGACGTAATCAAATCTGCTTGCGATGGCTGGAGCATTCACAAAAATTACAGGTAGACTGACAACAAACACCCAAATGGCCTGCAGACATTCAAAATGTAATGAGAAGATTAAAAAATGTAAATGCTTTCAAACCTGCTCCTAGAAAAAGTTTTATTCTTGTTTGTTTTATTGTTTATTATTTTTTTTTTTTTTAAATGTCTTTGGCTAAAGATTTTACGACGTTATTAATCGATTTAAAACAGTACCTGGAAAACCCAAAACCCTGCAAACTTTAAGCAGTTATCTCTCTTGTCATCAAACCGGTTGTCCTCCCCTATCTTGATTATCCTGTAAAGTAGGTATCCAGAAAGACGCAAGCCCCAACAAATAATGAAAGTGGTGACGATGATTTGCCTGGTGCTAAAACTCTGAGGGAAGAAAAATTATGGCAAGGTAATGAATTTAACTCTGCTGTACAGTATTTATTCATCATCACATTGTTGTGTTAAAAAATGAATAATACTTTAAAGAGAAGAAAGTCCAAACAAGCTGCTCCTTTCATATGCTTGTGCACAAATCATGATAATCAAGGCTTTTAGAGCAACTGATGGCCTAATCATATTGCTAGAGTAGAATTTAGCCTTAATTTCTAATAGATTGAGATAATTATCTTATACGTTAATTTGTTAATTATAAAGCTGATGCAAAAGGCAGATTTTCTTATTTATTTTAGTTAAATGTAATGAGAAGGCTTACCAGGTGGCAATCAGAGTTTCTTCCAGGCATCTCTTCGGAGGGGCTTTGCCCCCCCCCCCCCCCCCGAAATTTTTTTACCGCCCCCCGAACGAAATGAAATTTATATAATTCATATAGAAAATATATACTTTTAACAGTGTCCGCCCCCCCGAAGAAAGTTTACCGCCCCCCCCCCCCGAAGATTTCAAGTGCCCCCCCCCCCCCCCCGGAGAAAAAAGTCTGGAAGAAACACTGGTGGCACTAATTGTGTCAAGATATATAATCATCGAACCCTTTCAACAATTATGAATTAGATTTTTTATTATGGGGTAAAAATTATTGTCATGGTTGTTGTTATGGTCAAGGATATAAATCACAGATTAGTTGTAAACATGAAACTAATGACTGATTGCCAGCTACCCCTGCATAGGAAAAAGTAGAATAAAGTACATTTCTGACATGATGAACAATATGTAGAAGCAGTTGATTATATCTCTGTGTGCTCAATGACACAGAATGGACTAGGATTTTAAGCTTCACCACTCTCTCTCCATTTGCTCACAAGGAATGTTCATTATATAGCCAGGCGTGATCCAAACACTGACCCCTACACACCCCACTCAAGGAAAAACTATATGGGGCACCCGCTGATCTGGAGACCACAGTCCAGGTTCATACCACGAAGTTGGGCTTGTTGTTTAAATCCCTCCATCATATACTAAATTAAGAACGACGACGAAGAAGAAAGATGAAGCTCACCCCCACCTGACCACAACAGGTCTGTAAACAATAGAATGACCTCTAACCTGCCTGGTAGTCTGGCCATTTAGGATGGATATAGACTAGTTAGTCTTGGAGAGGCTCATGGGGACCAACCTATTCCAGAAAAATGTAAAACTCTAATGCAACCTAAATTTGCTCTCTCACCAATAGTCTTGCCTTATAGAGTTGTCCCCCTGTGACAATAATATACTTATTGAGCTCGCAGTCCCCTCACCACAGTTAAGGTGTGTTCTTACAATTTGTCACTTTCACTTACCCATGCAATTAAAAATGTCATCACAGCCAACACAACACAAAATTTGTACCACCAGCAAAATCTGTAACTTTATCAAACTTGCATGTACAAGCTATGAGGAAGAAGATGAACTGCATTGCAACTGTTACAATAGCACATATTGCCAGGTTGTTTTCATCTAAAATCCACGTCATCTTCAATCTTTAATATTTAATATCCTTAAGCCTTAAATCATAAGAAAGAAAAAAAATATGTTTGTGAATATGCAATAAATCTGTTTCACTAAAGACTTAATTATTAATTAAGAATAATAAGAAGATTTCACTTTAAGTCACTATTCACTATATTCTATAAATAATAAACTATCACTATAAATAGTAAATAGTTAACTATTTACTATAGAGACTATTCACTATGTCGATACTACTAGTACTAGACTAGATCTAGATTCTAGATCTAAGATCTAGATTCTAGAACAAAACTGTAACAAAAAGTAACAAAACACACCTGATGGCTGGTTCAAGTTAATAAATTATAAGTCCTTAGTGCAGCTTGTTCGCTTTAAGTCTGTACTGTAGATTGTGTGGAATGATATTTATTTGAGCTTAACTTCTAGATCTAAATCTAGGTTCAAGCGTACTAAAACTTTTAAAATATATGTATCAGTTATATAAGCGTGTTTTATTATTTTATGTGCGTAATTAATATTCAGCTGATATCAGACTTACATAAACGCAAACAGTGGCACTCTTTTTGTATGAAGTTTAAAAAAATATAGATTAGATCTATTATAGTACTCTTACTAGGCTATGCTACAAACATTTCTAAATGAACCCCGCGAAGTGCAATATGCAGATTCTAGATCTAGAATAGTTATTTTCAGTGAATATTATTAGTAATAATAATCATAATAGATCTAATACAGAATCTAATTACGAAGTTTTCTACTCACTACTTCAACTTGTATGTAGACTACTGACTCCTTCCTAAGAAGTAAGAAGTTATAAAGAAGATGAAGAAGCTTCTTCCTCAACCGTCCCAGCGCTAGTCTAGTGGTCTGGCCTTCAGAAGAGGCAAAAAGTAAAACGCAATAATCCAATTGTCAAATAGGGTCATTTTATTGGATGGCCCCCAAATTGATAAGTTATCTAAATTTGTATAAATATTTAATCATTAATGCACCCGTGGACCCATTGTTGAGCATAGAAACACAACCACACATCTCCCATCGTATTTGCCTGGGCTATTCCTCCTAGATCTACCTAGTGGCCCAGTTATTCCGACTGCTTCAGCTTCCTTTACAGCATAGCTGACCTTTTCGATGTTTGTTTTGGCCTAGATCTAGAATCTACCTACTTTCCTCTTTCCTTGGGGATTTCAATCTAGATCCTCTCTGGTGATGTTGCTAGTTGGTTTACGCTTGGTGTGTCCAATCCATCTCCATTTGTGCTTTTGTATTTCTTTGCCAATGGAAAAAAGCTTGATGTTGGTAATTTCTTTACAGAAAACATCAATTTTTCTATAAAAACAATAAAATACACACATTTTTTTTTAAACATGTGGGCCATTATGAGTTCATGAGTAAAACTTCAACTGACACCCACTACCCAAGCCCAACTCTGTTTATTACAGCTTT